ATGACGTAGGAAAAAGCACAAAATAAGGTGTGATCTAATACAGATGGATTTGGCAAAATAAAACTTAGACCTTCAAAACAGAAGTCTTATGCTTTGATTACGAGGTCCTAAAGAGAACGTCTTAATGAGAAATATATTTAAGATAAATCTATGACATTAGGATAATACTACAGTTTTAATTGATGACTCGTTATTGGTTTGACACGTGAGGTTATTGTATGTAAAAAAATTTACCCTTTATCAAAATGTATATTTACCGGATTATGAGTTAACAGTATTATGTTTCAAGTGTTATTAGACATATTTTTATTTAGGTACTTTTCGTAAATTAGAATCATCAGATATTGTAATAAAAAAAGTTTTTGGAAATCGATGAGCATTCAAACAGTGTAATTACATGGCTTCATTGAATGCACCTACGGCATTGATCCCGTCACAACTACTTAGCCATGTACTACATCGTAGGTTCTATCACTAGTACGCTCTCTAGCACAAGAGATGATAGAGGTTCTACGGATGACTGACAGTTACAGCCAGGGCTGGAGATTGTCAGGGGCAAATTGACCCCATTACATGTCTCAGAACATTAAACGAATCAAAGATGACTGTGAGTGATTCCAAGGTAAATAGTAAAAGTATTGAAACATCCATGTATGTTCGAAGAGTTTTGGTAGAATTTTGCCTTAGAATGGAGCTTTTAGTGCAACTTACTATTATTCTGTCTGGAAATTACGCAATTATCATGTTGTGTACCATCTTACATCCTATGACCTAAAACCTCCAATAAGTATCAAAAATACCAATACGTATCTAAAACATAACAAGATGTATATATGAAGATGGACTAACCATACGAAGGGTTTGTGGTATTTGAATAAAGAAACTCAAAATTGTTTTAATCACAATGGGTGGAGTAATAACTGTTTATTTTGGTACACCTATATTACGTTCTAACATTTTGAACTGTGCCTACAATATAGCAAATATGGGCAGGAGTAGTACTGGAAACTCATTTGATTTGGAACTTGCTATTTCAACTCTTTGAGTATGAGGGCGTTTATCGTACTCAATAACTAACCATTAATTAGTACGTTCATATTATTGAATATGTATAGAAAATTAAAATGCTTAAAGATTTTGATGATGTTCTCAAATTGTTCCTGGGCTCCTCTTAGCAGCCTCATTATGACAATTCCTGGATTTAGTTTACGTTAGTTAACCCGGCCACAAAGTATTTAACAGGTCCTGGAAGGATTGGCCACGGTGTTGCAAGTGGAAGCAGTTGGAAGGGCGTAGGAAGGAAGCGTCGTCTTTTGTTTTGCCTCTCTGGAAATTGGCTCAAGGAGAGTCCCAGGCTCAGGCTCTCGCTGCCGGCATTCGCGGGAACTGGTGTTGCATGGCAGAAATGTGCACAAGCAAGATAATCCAGTAGTACATTTAATTTGAGAGCTAGTTTCAAATCAAATGCTACAAAATATTGAATATCATTCATCTAAATGCATTGCAAATTGTGTTTATGATAGGGACCTCATTGATTTACTAATCTCAGTTTTCTATAGTATGAAATATATAAGTGTAAACCTAAGTTTTTAAATTTTGGAAGAAACAGAATTAGGGACCTGAAAGAAAAAGTAAATTATTGAAGCTTGGTTGGATAAATTACGTAATTTTTAAGGGTAAAATGCATTTTTTTTTAGTATATGAAGTTGTTGCATCAACCTAACAAACGATTAGAAATTTTCAAAATATCAAATAGCGTTATGCACGAAATGAGATTATTCTTATAAGCGACTATACCAAAGAAGAGCTGTGAGAAATTATGCAACCGTTTGGTTAATGCGTTGTCAAGGGTTTTGAGTTATTGATATGCTATAACTGGTTTATTCCTGAACCAGGATAGGTGTCTAAATCCTATTTAGGCTCTGCCTAGGGGCCAACGGATAGACTAGTCTTTTATAACAAGATCTTCATCGCTAAAACCCACGCAAGTTTTGCCCAGTATCCCACGTATCTCAAATAAAGTTTAACTGTATTTTAAACCAATGTAAAGGCAGTTTATAGTTTGGACGTATATGTTAAGATATTTATCTAAGAAAATTTAGACCTTTAGGGTAACGTTCGGATACTTGTTATTGTAAGAAGTGCGCTTTAGATTTTAAGAAATTCTTATATTAGTTTTAATGATCTAATTTCATTAAAACATTTTAAATCATGAACATTTCTAGATGTATATTTTTTTACGTGTTTGAATCATTTGTTTCGTACAATAGCTTTTGTTTCCATTTCAATCTGTAGGATTTTCACGGATGAAAAGACAACAGTTGTAAAGAAAGTTTTTGGAAAAGAATTATTCAGAAAACAACTTGTTAAACAGCGACTAGCAAAGGTATACAAGAGAGTGCTACAGGGTACTGTAGACTAGTGGCTATTGAATAGAAATGACCAGAGGCGACAGAGGTTAAGCCATTGGACAATGGAGTATTGCATCAAACTGCGATCAGCGCAAGGCCGGCTTACCTCACGGCTGTGGAGTACCTCAGGGGTCGTTCTTGGCACCCTCGCTGTTTCTACTAGACCTACATGTTCAATGCCGCACGTACGTTGTGGTCGACTCCTTCAAGGTCTTAATAGTTCCAAATGGATCAGTGGGTGTGGAGGTACTACTACGTAAAACAAGTATTACGTGTTTTAGACGGGTAAAGGGTATTGTGTTCCTGATGGAAAGGTCGTTGTATGTATCTACAACAAATCTACTGCATCTGTTTCATATGGAATATGGAGCATAATTTACGGTACTGCAGTATGCACTTTCTTATGGAGCTACACAGTATGGTATTTAAGATCCCTCATGGTAAAGTTCGTCATAAATTTAAAATTGTGAAATTAATAGCCAGCAGACATGAAAATCGTAACTTCTTATACTAGTGGCTTTTGTCCAGTTATCAATCTTTTGATGTTGTTTATTTTTTCAAAAGTCGAGCAAGTGAAATTTTTGAATTACAAAACAAACCCTTAAATTGCCAAGTACCTACACATTACCCAATAGAAATTTAGAAACAATCATGATTTTTGTTTTGAAATTCTTAAATGTCAAGATTTAAATACTTATTTTTATGTATTCAGAAATTGTATTCTGAAACAAAAGTGCTTACATGAATTTTTGCTGAATTTTACACGATAATGAATTGCATAATTTGTCTATTTAGGGTCTTGGTCCTGCAAAGGTAAACTGAAGCCTCGAGGTCACACAACAATCACTTGTACAGCCAATTAGAGATTCCCTAGTCATTACCATGGCTTGTTATAACGCATTGCAAGGAGAACCTCTCTATAAAAGTTGGAGTCAAAACCCTCAAGACAGTTGCCAAGCGGGGAACTGTCGCCAAATTCTTGGCACGAGTTTGTTCCCAGAAGTCACAGAATAAATTATTGACTTCTACGTTTTGTGTTTTTGAAATGCGAAAATGTTGTCACACTGAGAATCAGGCCAAGAGGTGTGTTCAGGTTTTGGAATGTAAGAAATGTTATTTCATTCATAAAACATTTGAAGACGTTTTCTATTAATTTGTAAATACATTGTTGCTATACTTTATTTGATAAATGTCTCCCAAATATTTTAAACTTTAATTTAATCTAGAACTTTGATTTTTGCAAGAGATGTTTAAAATAACTATGTTTGCACAAGGAACGGTACAGTTTATGATTTCCTAACCTAATAGTAACACAAAACGCATAAGAATATATTATTTACGTAAACATTTGTACATACAGTACTCGCAAGTTAGACCTACACTGTTCAAATTAACGTTTTGGACAATTATTTTCGAAATGCCTTTGGACTCACACTTTACATGAATAACTTATGTAAACCTTTTTAACTGTTTAACGTACCATGTAATATATACAAATCATAACATTTAGGAAAAGTACTCATCCTACAAATGGACATCCACTTTATCGCGAATCTAAAGTATCATCACACTCCTTATTCATCTAATCTTGGTGCTCATATCCAAATCACATTGTACTCCGTTACCCTCACAATGTGCAAGTGCCGCCTACAGGGTGAGGTAATACCGAGGGCAGTGACCTTGGGCAAGGGCGTACCACGGACTCTCGCCGTATAAGGACCACGGGGGCGTCCTGGCGTCCAGGCGGAGGCCTACCGGGGACACGTCCAGGACTAACGGACTCGGGTGATAACGTGTCCAAGAGGAAGTAGGTGGGAGCTGGAATAATGAGAACTATTCCTAGACTGATATAGAGCTAGGTTCGCACCACGTAGGTGTCGCATGGGGGACCTAACTGTAAACTGTTGAGAAAAGGTGCGAAGATGTTTGTTTGTAACGGAAATGGAAATGTTACGGAAGTTGAATACAAATGATGAAAACAGCTGTACACATTTACTATATAAAGTGATATGTAGAGAGAGACATTTACGTTTCTACTCAAAACACGTTTAGTTGTTAAATAACTTTATATCTACTGTTAGATTCATAAAACCTTGAATTAAACAAGGTTGTTAATTTTGGGCTTCCTAGTTCTTAAAATTTCTGCAACTTAAAAAAATATTTTTTGAATTAGTGTGGGTTATGGTGCTAAGTGCAAATAACACTTACCCTACGCACAGTATTAAGAATTCTCTTCATAGTTCAATTATATTTGTCTTTCTCAGTTACTTAAGGAAATCCAAATAGAAGTAATGCACAAAAAGTTAAGTAACCCTCTAAGAGCAATTCTTGGCGTTTGCCCAGGAGACTCCTACACTGGACACTTGCTCTTTGATCTTTAACTTTTGGTATTTGTGTAGGCAAATGTCAACATGGATAGAAGTGAGAAAGTTACAGGTAATGGAATTACATAAAGAGATGGCTTGGTGTACTCATCCTATTGCTGATCCTTGATCACATTTCATGTTATGAGAAGGTCCCTAGATAACGGAAACTACTTTATGTTTTTTACAAGATGAAGTATAACACTGAATAAATCTAGAACATTACCTGAACCTGACTGCCATGACACAGCCGTTTTATAAATCTTCACAACGACCACAAAAGACGCACAAAACTCACTAGCTCACACCACACTACACAAAGGCTACCGATCTACACAACCAATGACGTCCGAATGAAACTTCCAAAGGTCGAATCAAGGTTGTGAAACCTCAACACATTCCCCAGGATATTTCTGTAACGGTTTGAATCACGGTGAACTATTTTTAACGAGAACTGCTCCGGTTGGTTTCATCAATGGAGCTGCCAGTTGCAAGTGCACGTTCACAGTTCCCAGCTGTTCTCACTGAACCACATGCGTCAAGAGTGTGAGTCAAGCAACCTTGCCACGAGACTACGGTTTCATAAGCGGCTACAGTTGCAGCGTAGGAAGTGCAAGCTCGCCTTTGCCAGCTTTTTGTGCAATGCGTATCCTGTAATACTCGTTCAGTTTCTTGTCGGTAAAGTAAACCCTTTCAAGGGTGTTTCAAGAGTTTCTAAGTTTCTTAGTAGTGGCCATGGTACAAATTTTATCATAAGGATTCGAATTAGGCATTCGATTAGTATTTTATGCCCAAGCCTTATTAGGTTAAAATTGAGAAACATTTTGAGTCTTTTATGCTTCTCGAGTGAAAAAAACAAACCGTTTGATCAAAAAAGTTGGTCAACTAGTTCGTCGATAAAATGTTTTCTTCTGGACTTTATGGATAACGTTGGTCTACTGGCTTGCCACGCAAGTAGCGTATTGGGAAAATAGTGTCGTAATATATACAAGCACCTTGGACAAACCATATATTGATCTCAATAAAGATGTCATTTTGGTTTACAGTTTAGTCTCCATAAAATTTCAATAGGTATAATTATTTTCAGGGTAAGGATTTTTTTTAGGGTAAGGATAGCACTACTTTGATGTCGAAACAAGGATATTGACTTCTACAATGCTTTAACTAATGTATAGACACAGTAGAACCTTGATAACAAGTGTTCATATGGAAATGTTCAAATATGTCATCAAAGCTACTTACTCCTTATCGAGGTTTGCAATACCATGTAATTAAGGGATAGTAAAATCAAGGACAATTGAAAATGACACTTATTATCAAGGGCCACTTGTTATAGAGGGTCTTCTTATTGAGGTTCCACTGTGTATATTTTTACCCTGGAGCCAAACTGACACTTAATATGCCACCGTCAACCTTGTGGGGACGCCTCCAACTACAACAGGAACCACATCCTCTGCAGACTTCCCTTGCTTCCTGAGAGCGGAGCGTTCATTGCCACCAGCGCCTGACTCACTGACACGGTTACTGACTATCAACTGTCACAAAATATATAAATACCCCTGCCGCAGCAAACCTGCCGTCTAAGCGAATTTCCATTTGGCCGAATTGATTTTCAATTGATCTATTTAAATAACATTAGGTTTAACGAGTACCTAGGTTTGCTGCTACAAGGAAACTAATAAAGTAGTGTGTTTTTAGTAAAATATTGATAGCTTACTATAAAATAAATAAATTTGCCAAGTTTGATCAAAATATATCCATAAACAAGCAAACTACAACATTTTACAATATTCTCCATAAGAATAAAATGGGAATTTTAAATTTACCATTTTTTTAGTTTTCTCCGTAACCAATAAACCAACAAAAACACTTTGATATACTGAATTGTTTGTTTTTTTAATCTCTTTAAGCAGGTTTAGAGAAAAATTGGTAAATTATGTGCTTTGAGGGTAAGAAGTGAGAAAAACCAATTTTTACCCCATAAAACCCTGTTCCCGTGGTCCGATCATGCTGGATCGCGAACTCATTCAAGTTTATCCCGCCTTACACCTTCAAACCAAATTTCATCAAAATCGGATAAAAATTACTCAAGTTATCGTGTTCACGGACACACACATATATATATATATATATATATATATATATATACATATATAAAAATTTGAACGAATGGTGTTTTTGGCCTCTGGGGACATTAAAATGAAAAAGTAAATCGGTCCCGGGCCTAAGTCTTACCATGAGACCTACGGTAATAGCTACTTCCCTATAGGGAAATTCGCTAAAAATATAACATATGAAACAAAATATATAGCAAAGAGGATGGCGACTTTTTCTATGTTGACGAACATTTCTGCTCGTGAAGAATAATTAGTTGAGGGAGTTTTGATTTTTCTAGGTAAGAACCGACACTAAGAATAGTTTGAGAAGATAACTTTTAGCTGAGAACCACTGCTTATGACGTTTAATCTTATAGTTTTTTATGCAGCACTAAAGAATATTTTTACTCATAAGACAACGATCGGATTTCTGAAATGTTATGAGAGGATAATGAGTTTGCAACTGTTTTATATGTTGAGTTCATTTTAAGATTGTTCCTCCTGATTCTGCTTAATTTATTAAACCTGTGTTTTCTTCATTCCTGTAGGATTTAAAATGCGTTTTCCCTTTAATATTTGAATAATTTTTGTCATCTAGTTACACCATTCATCACATCGTATACCAACTCTGTTTTGAGATCACCAATCAAATCCCTACTATATGAAATACCTAATCCCGATATATCGCAGCTTCCTAGATACTTTCACATCAATCTAGAAACGCAATCGAGTTCACACCTCTGCCATAATTTGTGACAATCACTGTCTTCCTTCGTTACCGAATAAGCTTAAACACAATTGCGATTGCGCCACGGTTGCACAAGACAAATTGAACAGTGGTTGTTTGTTGGTTGCTCGGGTCACGATCCACACAATTAACAGTTTCTGTTGCATTAACATTACGCGCTCTTCCGGGAGGAATTGCTACCGGGCTGCCACTGTGGTTTACACTTGTAAAAGGCCACAACAAATACATATGTCGTGGTTTTTCAAAGTTGAAAATACTATTGAAATGTTTAGTTGTTTTACTACTTGTACTTGAGCTGTTAAGCAAGAATGTGACCGAAATGAGCTTCTGTTAACAGCTTGCGTGTCTTAACGGATGCAATATTTTAAGAATTGGTTCTTGATTTCTGAATATTAGTGTGATTGCAATCAAATTTTAATTGTGATACACAATTAGGAGTTTTAGAAAAACTAAAGCTGATTAAAATATTGTATGCCAAAATATATATTTAGAAAAAAAAAATAGTTTCACTGTCATCCAAAAATGTATAAATCCTTCCAAACGTCCTTTATGATCCCCCGCGCGTTGTGATAAAGTTTGACTAGATTTACGGTTAAAATTAATCATTGCATAGTTCTAAAGAAAAGAAACACTGTAAACCAATTCGAAGTATATTTAGTATTGCACTACAAATTTCAAACGTACATTACAAAAATATCGTGTCCGGGTGAAACCGTCCAACAAACGGCGCAAGATACAACTTTCATGTACTTTTTAGTAACTCGCCCTTTGAGGATGCACAAGCTATTTATGTAAAACAAACAACAGCTAACTCATGGACGTTAATTATTAAATAGGAAATACCATTATAAACTTTGCCACTAACAATATTATTTACTTACACCTCCATCCTGAACGAAGGACCACTAATGGACTGTCCACAGTATCAACATTACCGGACAGCCCAAATAGCTCGTCGTCTCCACGTGACGTCACACCTGTGAGGTCACATCTGTGAGGTCATATTTGACCCTGTGACCTCACCGGGGACGGCATTGTCAAGGCCTCTGAGTTAGCGGTTTTACACCTATACTGCGAAGAGGTTTCATTGTTGGGTCCAGTGAGGCGTCCTCAATGAAGATGAGTAAGGAGTTTGTTGGAAGAATGTCCGGTACTGACGAGTGTGGTTTTTGTGAAGGATTCTGTCTTGCATTACAAAATGTCTATATGTTCATTCATTTTATAATTTTTTTCATTTAAGAAGTGTTTGAAGTCTTTTTCACGTATTTTCAAGAGATGGATGTTTTATGTAAAAAAAATAGCTAAATAGGTACAGTGTTTAAATGAGCTTAAATATTTGTGAAGAAGGTCACAAAAACTAAGAACACTAAAATCTTTACTCGTTGCTATTTATTTTTGAAACATTGTTCCTTCAACAATAAAACCATTGACTTTTGAATACTGATGTTGACATCTACATGGAAAAGCTGAAGCCTAGTTTCTATTCCAATTATATATAATTGAAAAGGTCACTTATAATTTATTTATTTTTCACTGTGATAGTTGACGAAATATAACAGATGAGGCTTCTAATAAGTTTTCCTATCGGTTTGGATGGGTTGTAAATTTTCGACAGACAATTTTGCACTTTAGAACACTCTGTTACAGCTCCTAAATTCAACCATTTGTTTCTCAAACTTGTTATAGTTGCAATTAAAATGTTTCTACTCCTATCAAAGGTAAAACGCACTATTACATATTGGTATGGACAGCGATCCAAGAATTAACGAACTTTTCTAGACAAGCCATTCAAAATTGTTGAAAGAACTTTGATTGCAGTAGAACATTGTACTACGAAGTTGTGTACATGTTCACATTACTCAACGATCAATAATGTATTCTACAAGCGTCCAAGTATAACGGTCAAACTGGCCAATACAGTGCGTGCCATACGTGATAGGCCGTGACCTATAATAACTGACTTTTCAATTTAGGAGAGTAGAGCTACACTACATATTCATCGTTGGTTTAAACTGAAAAATCATTACTTTCTGGGATAAAAGACACAAACCGCACTTTTTCACTTATTCACCAACCTGTGAGTCTTACACTGAGAAAGATGAGGATAGAGAACTATCAGATTTGGTGGTGACAAGCATTTTTCTGTACCTGGAAGAGGTATTCAATAGGATTTTGTGAAGGTCTGATTCAAAGTCGAAGAAACTATATATGGAAGTATTTGGGGGACTCAAGGAGACTCAAAAGATTTGCCTAAACTTATGTCCGTGGGCTTTGGAGACATACCACTTTAAGAAGCTATTCAGCAAGCGATACAAATCAACGACGTCCTTTTTATCTGTGCTGAAACGTTCATAAAATAGACGAAATCTAACAAGTTTTGAAAAATAAAATTGAAAAAAAAACTCAGATAAAGTAACACTACTAAAAACCGTGGGATTTGGGAGAGCAGGATGTATAGCCTAACTATGAGGGGAGGGCTGTTTCAACCAACGATGTTTTAACTACTCCTAAATATAACAAGTTTTCAAAAGTAAAATCGAAAGACATCAAACTAATGGTTATTATTTCATCAAACTGGAGGATTTGTGACTGGATGGGATTTGACGCGAAGCAGGATGCGTAACCAGATGAGGGCTGCTGACCTTGGTTATGTGATAGAGCCAGGGAATTCCGCAGAG